CCTCCCCCCTGTGCCCGCAGCGGTGCCCGCCTCCCCCGCGCCTGCCTCTGCCTCGCAAGCTCTTTATGGGTGTTAGAGCAAGGTGCAAAGCAGAGGCCAGTCCTGGCAGAGGCCTGGAGCAGCCGGAAGGGAGGCGGGGAAGTCTCAACCTGGAAAAGACCGAGGCTCCTGAACACCTTTTGGATAAGAAAGGGGGCGGTGACACCTGAGTCTGGAGCAGACAGGACGGGAGGCAAACCAGCATCTGGTAACTTCCACCTCAGGGGTCTCACGGTTTCCACGAGGCTGAGAGTGGGGCCTGTGGCTTTTCCTCTCTGGGTCCCCCCAGGACTTAACACTGGTCCTCCTCAATGAGTATTTGAGAAATAAATACAGCCCAGAGTTCTGGACAGGCCAAGAAGAGAAAGGGGACTGAGGTTTGTTGAGGACACCGAGGCTCTGAAAGGTTTAGTAAATTGCCTGAGGTCACACAGCAGTCAAGAGAAGAAGGCAGCTTTGAACTCAAGTCTGTCTGGCGCCCAAGCCCTCGGGGGTGACTGGAGCCTGCTGGAAGCAGGGCTGGAGCAGGCGTGCAGCTGTTCTCAGAACCTCCGCTCGGAGGACCGTCCTCTGGGGGGAGCAGGGCTGATGAGACCACCAGTGGCTGCCACAGCCTTGACCAAAGCAGACTTTGTGGAGGATACAAGAGGCCAGAGGAGAGCAGGCCCGAGTCCTGGCTCACAACTGGGGGAGGAGGGCTGGGAGCGAGAGAGGTGCCGAGATGCCTCCCCAGGGTGGGCTGGAGACACTTGGACAACAGGAGTCTGGGCTCACCAAGATGCACAGCCGGCCTAGAATCTAGAGTTTCCATGGGCTCTGCTGAGCTGGCAGGCAGCGGACACCCACTGAGCACCGACCACAGGCTGGCTCAGTCCTCAGGTGTCCTACAGGCAGGCCCTAGCATCACACCCATTGAACAGATGAGGCAACTGAGGCACAGCGACATTAAATAGCCTGCCCAGGTCCCAGGTGAGTAGCAGAGCTCAGATTCAAACGCGGGCTGAAGGCCCTGGCCTGCACTCGTAACCCTGCATCCCATTGCAGTTCAGGGACACGGTGCAGTGTCCTCAGTGGTGGACACAGCTGAGGGTGCAGGCTGGGTCTTGATAGCGGGAGGTGGAGGATGTGGCAGCACCAGGCTGAAGGCTGAGAGCGGGGGCAGTTTGGAGGGTGTGGGAGACGCAGGATTCCTTTGGTCAAACCTTCAAACCCTCGAGACAAGAGCGTGGGGAGGGGCGCAGAGCAGGAGATAGATGGGGTGGGGGCCACCGGGGCAGGAGCAGGAGGAAGCGGGGGCTGCCCGCAGCCCCAGTGGATTCTAGGAGACCGTGAGGGTGTTTGCACCTCTTGTGAAAGAGCAGGGTTTCTCTTCTGTATAACGTCTGTTGCAATACAGGGCAAAATCTGTTTTTGTTTGCAGTACAGCTTGTTACTAAAGAGCTTTTCCACAGCAGGACCTGCGGAAGCCCCTTCTACTCGGTTACCAGGGTGTGCCAGGTGTCTTTTGGGGAGGAGGGGCCACACAAAGAGAAATGGTGGGAACTGGGGGGAAATTCAGTCAAAAACAACTCAGTGTGAGTTCAAACGTGTTGTCACCCACAAGCTGCATTTCCACCACTCTGGCCATCTTTGCACGGGGTTGGGGGGGGCAGGGTCCATAGGATTAAAGGAGACAATGTCACGAGGGACCTGGCCCCAGCCTGTAGTAGGTACCCTAGGTACTGCACAGGTCAGCTCTTGCCTCCCAGGGTAAATTTTTCTGTGAAGAATGTTCCTTGCCGAGGAAAGCGCAAGCAGCTCCAGAGCCCACTGGCCGGGGGTCCCTGCTCCGGGCTGAGGCTGCCTGGGGTCTGAACCTGGCCTCTGCGGACTGGCTAGGCCTTGGTCAAATTACCTGGCCTCTCAGGGCCGCCAGTTCCCCATCCTTAAAATGGTGCTGGTGAGGACAACAGGTGCCCTAAGAGGTGCTGTGAGGATGTGCCCAGCTAAGGGCTCAATAAAGGCTAATTCGTGATCATAGAAGTAGCTGTTTATGATATAAACGAAAGCCAGGGGTGGAGCAGAGTGGGGGGTGGGAGAACGGCTCCTGGTGGCCTCATGAAAGTCTAAGTGAATAGGAAAGAAATACCCCCAGCCTCCTCAGTGGGGTGGCCACTGGGTTGGCAAGAGGGTCAGCTGGTGTCCAGGACAAGGAGGGACCAAGACAATCCAGCAGAATTTACTTAGTGCTGTCCGGGGAGAGGCTGAGTGTGAGGGACCCTGGTGCTGGCAGCCCTGGAGTGGAACACTAGCCCTGTGGCCACCCACCCCATGGCTGGCTTGGATCCAGGCCACCCAGCTTTAGAGGGAGCCTGGGACCAGGAAAGAGGCACCCACATGGCCCCTGGAAGTACATACTCCCATCCTAAAACACTTGGTCTCTGGTGGCATTTCAGGAAGTGGGAGGTGCCACCCTTCCTGGTGATAGTGACACTTTGTGCCGCAGGGCACAGTGCTTTGGTGGCTGGCCACTGGCCCCCCCTTCTGTCCCTGGCTAATGCCAGCAGTGACATGGAGAGTGGCTCTGCCACTCGGCAGGTTCAGTGCGGTGGTTCCACCACAGCAGCCACGCAGGACTCCTCAGGCAGTGAGCTGTCTCTCCCCACTGACCCCCGGACCCGACCGGACCACACGATGCCACCCTCCTTGTTTAAGCCTGGCCATGCTGGGGGAGGCTGTCAATGCAGCAGCCAGGCAGAGTGCACGATCCCCCGCCCCTTCAAAAGCCACCTCGGCAAGGCATTAGCTAAACATCTCCTCGGTCCCTGAAGGCTTCCCCTGTGAAGTCTGCAATGTTCAAACGGCAGCCAGCAAATCCCCGGAGACAGGTCCCTGGGAATTAGCCGCACGGGCTGGATGAAAGCCCCTCTGATGTTCGCAAGCAGGAGAGGACGTGAGAAGAAGGAGACAGACATTACCTGCCAGCTGCAGGGCCCACGGTAACAGGAGCAAGCCGAGGAGCCGGGGGGCCACGCGGGGGCCGGGAGGGCGCGGGTGACCCGGCAGGGCCCGCCACCATGGAGGCCAGCTCTCCATCTGGGGACCTTCTTGTCTGGGTCGGCTGGGTCGGTGTCCCTCCTTCCTCTTTAGTTCACAGGAGGGGGCAGTGCGCTGGCAGCCACAGTTCCCCTTTGTGTTCCCACGAAGCTCCTCCCTGGCCACCCTCTGCTCCTCGGGGCCACCCTCTGCTCCTCGGGGCCACCCTCTGCGCCTCGGGGCCTCCCGCCTCCCCGGTCCCAGGCCCTTCCACTCAGACAGTGGAGCAGCCCCCTGGCAGGGGTGGCCGCCACGTGAAGAATCTGGGGCTCAGATTCGTCCAGGCCACTCAGCCAGGAGAAGAGCTGGAGATGGGGACCCAGGACTCCCCAAGCCAAACCGCAGCAGCTTCACCCCTCCTCGGCCCCTTTGCAGCTGGGGGCCCTGTCCTGAAGATGCTGGTGACCATGCAGAGGAGGCCACAAGAGTTCCGTGAGTAAACTGGGATCTCGATTAGCTCCTCGCTTCTGAAAAACTTTTAAAACAACCACAAGCGCGTTCACACAAACTTCCCCTCTGAAATATTCTGGGAAACCCCTCGATAATGTGTTTACGCAAGAGCAGGGTGTTCGGTGGCAGGTGGAAGTGGTTGGGAGGATGGGGCTGCAGGGGGCGCAGGCTGTTAGGGTGAGGGGCAAGAGCCACTTGTTCCTAGCCCCAGAGAGGGCCAAACGCCTCCTGGGGCCAAAAGGTCAGCTGCCCATCATTTGTCCAGCGAGGGCTGCTGAGTCCCCTGCAGAGCCCTGGGAGATGCCTCCTGTCTGGCCCACCTCAAATGTCACTGCTTCCTGTGGCCTCCCTGAACTTTGGCTCACCCGCATACTCCCCACCGTGGGACACATGAACTGGTTCCCCATCTGGCTCCACATCACAGCTCCTGCAGGCACTGACACAGGGACAACAACTTTTGCTGCCTGGGTCCCTTTCCTTAGCAGACTGGAGCCTTCCACCTTGGCATCCTGAAAGCCCAGCTCTGGGCTGGATGGGGCAGGGCCAGATGTCTGCCTCGGTGTCTGGAGTGGCAGAGGGAAGGGGTGGGGATAGGGGGGTAGAGGGATGGGGATCGGGGCACCCTGGCACTCAGAGGAGACAGGTGGGAAGGTGGCTGAGTTTCAGCACAGGCTGAGCACATCCCTCCTTTCTCCATTAGTGCCCATTAACCCATGAGATAAACATGATTATCCTAATTGTACGAAGGAGAAAACTATAGCCCCAAGAGGCAAAGCAACTCGCTCAAGATCAGGGCAGGTCCATGGGGCTGGCATCCGAACACCAGAACACTGAGCCTTCCTCTCCACTTCAGATGTATCTGGGCACCGTGGCTGCAGCCCCCCGTGATGGCATAACGGGGTCCAGTTTCAGTTCTCAACCCGAATGCTTTCCCCTCGGCTGCTTGGACACCCAGCAGGAGCAGGGGCTGCCCACCAGGTGAAGAAGACGTATGAGCACGAGACGTTTCCTGCGGCGCGGGGGGCGGGAGGGGACCCCAGTGGTATTGACTGTTGATCCATCACGGTGATACATGATCACATATGTCACAGTGAGACACAGATAATCTGCTTCACGCTGTTCCCCAACTCCTGGGGGGAGCAGGTTGTCTAAGCATCTCCATGCGTGGTGATAGACCTCGTGTGAATGCCTGGGGGCACAGAGGGAGGTGGCCGAGTGCCAGGCTGCTGCAGAACATGGAACCCTGCTCTTCTGACACTGGTGCTGCCTCTGCTCCTGCCTGTCTGTGCGGCTACAGCTCAAACCCCTCAGCCCCTCCTGAGTGCTCCCGGGAGCCCTGCCGCCTCTGAGCCTGTGCCCAGCCTCACCGCCTAGGCCTCCTGTCCCTGTTCTTCACCTTTGACCCCTTTGCCTGATGCAGGGGTCGCATGGGTGGACAGGTGCGTGAGCATCAGATGGGGGTAAAGCCCTTCCTCCCAGGCTTGGGAAGGTGGCTGCCGGGAGGCTCTCAACAGGCCTATGGGACAGCTGGACTCTGGGGTGGCTGGGATGAGGCCCGCACCCTTCCTGGGCAGGCCCTGGGGCTGCAGAGCACAGATGCGACTGGAAGAGGTGAAGCTGAGGGTCCTTGGTCACTGTTGAGTTCCTGAGACGCTCCACAGCCACACAGCCTCCTGGGGAGAGGCAGAGAGGCAGGGACAGGCCTTGAGCAAGGAGCCAGCGGGCCCGGCTGTGCCACCTGGGCCTCCAGTCTGGCCCTGATTGGCCTCAGGAACCAGGATGATAGAAATAAAAGCACAGCACATTCAGAAACCTCATTTTCGTCAAAACTTTCCATCTCCTCTCACCCAAGTGGCTGTCGAGCAGGGAACTTGCCAGGTTCGGGCCCACGGCTTTTCCCTCCCGTGCCCTCGCCCTTGGAAGGAGAGGTGAATAAGCAGATGAGAGGCCCCAAGGCCCGAGGAGGAGCAGAGAACTGAAACCAGGCTCTTCGGGCACCCCCGGTGGGCCGCTGTGGCCGCACAGCCTTTGGGCCAGCTGTGTTTGCAGGTGAGGCCACCAGGGATGGCATCTCTCAGCCACTGGTTGGTGTCCAGTCGTCCATCCCTCCATCCATCCCTCCGTCCATCCTTTGCATTTTTCTGAGTGCCTGCTCTGCACCGGGCAGTGACCTTGCAGAAGGATGCGCAAGTGAAAGACCCCAGCTTCTTTTTAAAAGATGACCAGTAAGGGGATCTTAACCCTTGACCTGGTGGTGTCAGCACCACGCTCTCCCGAGTGAGCCACGGGCCGGCCCTAGACCCCAGTTTCAAGGAGCCCACATCTAGGGCGGGAGATCGGCAATCCCTGCACAGTTAAGTAATAACAGAGCAGTTCAGCGCAGCTACTAAATGCTGGACACCATTTGAGTGGCTTTTAAACTCTTAACCAATTTAATCCTCACTGCAATCCTAGGAAGCAGATACTCCCCTCGCTTCCATTTCACAGATGCAGAAACTGAGGCATGGGGAGGTTAATGTCTAACCACTACTCTAGCCCACCTTGATGGCAGAAGACAAGAGGGGAGATGGGGGAAGAAGTGAATTACTCGAGTGGAGGGAGGAGGGGATGCCCAGGAGGGCTTCATGGAGGAGGTGGCAGCCCTGAAGGAAGAAGTTGGGTGGGAGATGGGGGAGCACAGGTGCTCCCTGCCGTCCCCAGGGGTCTCCTCCACACTAACACTAAAGCTCTCCAAAGGGGACATGGTTGCTGGCCTGTTCTCAGTTTAGTTCCATGGACACTTATTAAGTACCTACTGTGTGCCTGGGGTACAAAACATGTCATAGTTTTGCCCTCAAGGCGCTCCATGTCTAGGAAGAAAACAGACACGCCCTGCCCCGGCCAAGGTTTCCAAACTCCTGAGCGAGCCTGCACGCAAGGGTGGCAGAGGGGCCTCCAGCCCGGCGGCCCTGAAGTCCCAAGCTCTCTGCAGTTCTTTCACAGGCAGGCGGAAGCAGAAGTGCCCTGGGAAGGGGACCCCTCGGCTCTCTGTCCCAGCTGTGGAAGTCATTTCCTTCCTCCCTGCAGACTCCACGTCGAGGAGGAGCCAGCAGGAGGGGACCACCTGGAATGACCCGCCAAGAAGGCCTGGTGGCTGAGATGTGCCGGGGGCGGGGGGAGACATCAAGGCGCATCAGGTCCCCTCTCCAGCCTTGCCACGCTGAGAGTAATCCTGAACATCTGGAAAAAACCAAAAAAACAAAGGTGGCACCATTTTCCAACACGCATTCCCTGTTCACGCGCCAAGGCCTTGTGAGGCTCAGAGCCTCAGCACAATTGTGTCCCTGGAAGAGACAAGCACCCACCAGGAGGCTATTGGCTGGGGGTCCACAGGTGGCAGGCGCCAGGTCCTGCACTAGTGCTGCCACCTCTTTCCCCTCCGGACCATGCAGGGGTAGCCCCGGGTTGTCCTGTACCAATGGTGCCACCTGGTGGCGGACATGGGAACGCCCTCACCTGGGATTTCTTCTCGTCCCTTGCTCCCCCTCTAGGGGGTCCTCGGCTGCCTAGAGGCGACCTCCCAGCAAGGTCGGGCCAGGGCTTGAGTGGCCTCAGCATAGGGCAGCAGAAGGGGAGTCAGGGACAGGCGGGATCAGGAACGTGCAGGGGGGCAACTGTGGGAACGCAGTGTGGGGTGCGGTGGCTGCAGGACCCCCAAAGCACCTCTCCAATGTCATTCCTGGGCACCCTGGGGTCCAGGCCCTGTTCCAACAAGCTGCTTCTGCTGGGAACACTTTATAATCTCCTCTAGTGGGGTCTACATGGAAGCTGGTTACTGGCCGCCAGGAAAACCAGTCTTATTCTTTGCTGTCACATCTGGGGACTTTCTGGGCATGTCTTCCCAGAGGGGGTTCAGCCAATTAAGGAAAGAATTAGCCTCCCCTGAGGCTAATTCATGCTTCATCACCCACAGTTCTATGGTTCTATGGGACAGAGAGTCTCAATCTCCTGTGGGCAGAGGGGGTGTGTGTGGCAGCCACTAATTATGCAGATTCCTGACCCCAGCCCAGAGGTGTGACTCCAGGAGGCTTTGGGGAGGCAGGGTGTCTGCAGTTCAACAGACCCTGCTTCTCACACTTAAGAAACTGCCTGAAGCATCTCCCAAATTTGAGACAAGTGTGGTCCTCCCTGCCCGTCCCCTCCCCTGCCCCCACGTGTCCTCCCTCGCTTGTCCCCTCCCCTTCTCCCCCATCTTCCCTTCCTCCCCGCTCCCTCCCCCCTCCCGTGGAAGGCCAGCACAGTGTCCTGGGAAGAGCGGAGGGTCTGCAGCAAGCGCCCCGCCGCCTTACAGATGAGGAGACCGAAGTGCAGGGAGCACAAGCCCTCGCCCAAGGCCACCCGGGCAGCGAGCAGTGGCAGCAGGACTCGAGCTCCCACAACTGAGCTTTCACCTTTAACCGCTGAGCAAGTCACTTGGTTTGCGGTTTGCATCCCAACCTTGTCTCCTCAGCCTCGTGGGGCAGTTTCCTCTCCACAGAATGGGGTGAAACACCCACCGTGCAAGAGTTTGGTGAAGTAACAGAGGTGAAAGCACTTTGCAAAGAAGAGCGTGTTGCAAGAAGGTGGCCGTTCTGCCTCCATCTTTATTCAGCCACTCCCTTGCTTAGGTCCCTTTACAAAAGGCTTGGGGGAGTCACAGGGAACAATGAGGGCCCAGCAAGGGGAGATGAGGGGGGTACAGACTCAGAGGGTGTGTGGTTATGGATGAGGAAATTGTGGAGGGTGACAGGGCTGGGAGCAGTGGCTGGGGCACAGGAGGGAAGGGTGGGACAGGAGGAGGGGCAGGGAAAGGAGGCCCCCCAGGCACATCCCGCCTCTACTTCCCAGGGCAGCTGGAAGCTGGCCTTGGAGCTGGGTCCTGTTGGGGTTCCAGAGGTGGGGTGCAGGGCACCAGGCAGCGGCAGGGGGTTCTCCGGGGGACTCTCCCCTAACTCAGCCTCATTCCTCAGGAAAGTTCTGCCCTCCTTTCCTGTTCTCCCCTCTTTTCTCTGCCTCTCACTTTCTCTTCCATTGCACTGTGGCTAGGCCAGCTCACCCCAAACCCCCAGGGCTGGGGACAGTAATGGCGCAGCTGTGCAGACCTGGGTCAAAGTCAGAAGGCCTAGGTTCAGGGACAGTAAAGAACCCAGGTCAGCACCTCTGCTTCTTGCAGGGGTCTAGAAGTCCCCTTCAGTGATACACAGGGAACCGTGGGTCACTCATTCATTCGTTCAACAAACCTCTCCGGGGCACGGCTCTGGACGAGTCCCCGTCCTGGGTGCCAATCATGTAGGGCAGAGCCTGACACCTGCTCATCTAAGTCACAGCACAGTGTGAACCCAGCGTGAAGGGGGAGCAGCCCAGACGAAGCCGAGCCTGTCTAGAGGCCAAGGCCAAGGCTTCATGCAGGCTTCCCGGAGCGGATAAGAGGGCTGGCGGGAGGGGCTGAGGCTGCAGATGGGCCCAGGGGAGCCGGACTGCGAAGGCTTCCCTCCTCCCCTGGGCCTCCTCCGATGCATCTACCTTCTCCCTCCGGCATCCACAGTCAGATGCATAAAACCATTTATTTTTTCTGTTCAAAAATTACTGGTATTGCCAGTATCGATTTCCACTGTTTTCATTTCACATGGACAGATCTTCAGCCGCATTCTGAGTTCAGCAGCTTTCTGGTCGTTCCTGGAAGCCCGGCATCATTTATGATACGGTTTCTGGGTGGAAAGGCTTTCTTGGGAAGACAGCTCATTTGGAAGTTAGAGACTTCCTGAGCATATTGGACTGGAAGTCCCGTTGTGTGCAAAATGCCCTGCAATGCTGAAAGACATGCTGCGGTCTTTTTAGGACCAAACATCTCAAAGGGACCTGCTGATCAACAATAACCACAGTCTGTCCTTTGCAGGGATAGGAAACAGGAGGTGAAAAGCCAGCCGAGTCTAGACCTATGGATCTCAGCACTGGGCTACTTCCAGCAGGTCGCAGCCCATGAAGATTTCACTCACCCAGAATCCCCCTCCCCGGGAAATTCCCCCACCACAACTAAGGGCAAAAAGAAAGTGTTTTCAGCCTCTTTTCATTTGCCTTGGGTGACAAGATTTAGAAGCAGTAGCTCTGCCTGGCAGGACCCTGTGCCTGAGTCATTATTTCCCTAGGGTGTCCTTTGTCCCTTTTTCCTCCCAGCATTTGCTGACCTCTGTGTCAGCACCTTCAGGCAGATGAAATATGTGTGGGATGAGGCTCTCTCTGAGCTACCTGTGGGATGGGGACTCAGGGACTTGCCAGATGCAGCAGACCTCAGAGTGGTCAGGAGGCCCCTTGTCATCCAGCCTAGGGCCTGGATGAGGTAGGGGTCCCTCACACCTCACCCATGGCCTTCCTGCCTCCTCTGACCACCCCTGGGCATTGGCCCACTGGCCACTGGGCATGGCCGCTGTCTGAGGGCAAGGGCAGGGAGGGGAAGAGGTGGCATAAGGAGGGAAAGGAAACACATCCTCACCAGACACGTGGCTTGAGCCCATCCTCTCAGCCACCCTGCGAGGCAGGTGCTACTGTGTCCCCATTCCGCAGCTGAGGAAACTAAGGCTCAGAGAAGGGAAGTCGCTATTCTAAGGCCACACAGACAGTGAGGGTGGAGCTTAGACAAGTGCTGCCTTGTGACAGTCTTTTGGGGCATCTGCACTCCGTTGCTAGATGTGAGCTGTCTGCAGCCTCCTCTCCCCTCGGTCCCTCAGCTGCCTCACCTGCAGCAGCCCCCCTCTTCCTCAGGTGAGGGCGCCTCCATCTTTGCAGGTGCTAAAGGCCCAAGCACATGTATGTCTTGAATGAATGAATGAGAAACTGGGAGAAGAGTCCCTGTGCAGAGCCTATTCCCTTAATACAGAGGTGAAAAGGACACCACAGAGGATTCTCATAAGATCAGTAATAGATCAATAGGACGTTGGTCACAAACTTGTAGAAAGCTGATGCATCTGAGCAGTGATGCGGCCTCCCATGTGGAATGACAGAGCAGTAGGGACGCTGGTCTTAGATCCTTCCACTCAATTCCACAGGTGTTAGGGGTCCCCCACAGCCGCCCTGGGCTTTGCGCTGAGAACACCAGGAAGAAGACCCCACCCCAACCCTTCTCATCCCCTCCCTGCAGGGTCTTGACCTGCGTTTCACAGATGTCACCATCACCGGGCCACAGACACGACAGGTGGAGTCAGATGGGGATGGGGCCGGGGTGAGGCCTTGGCTGCCTGGAGAGCAGGGACGGGGCGGGCTCAGTGGAAGGAGGGGCTTCCCGGTCGCCATCCCCCCAAGTCCCCACTGGGTACCTGCCTGCCACCTGCCCTGGTTGACCAGAAGCCCAAGAGCCTTCGCCCCTCTGCTCCCCTCCTTTCTGTTTGTGTCCCCCACTGACCGGGAGCTGTCAGCCTCCCCAGCAGCCCTTGCCCTGGATGAACAGGTCTTTCCCTCGGAGCTCTAGCCCCCAGGCCCTGCTCCCCAGTGTCTGAGCAGGTCTCTTCCTTTCGACAAGTGAGGGTGGGGTTTGCGCCCCCCCAGCCTCCCCTTCTCCAGTCCAAGACGTCCCTGGTCCTGGTGGTACCCCCAACCTGGCTTCCAGACCCTTCTCCATGGAGTGTCCTCCAACCTGCATCCCCTGGTGCCCAGCTGTGGTCTGAGTAGGACAGAGGTCAGTGGGACCACGGTCCCCTCCCTCATTCTGGACAGAGGCCTCCCAGGAGTCTCCTGGCTGACTGATGTGTGTTCCCCACATGGCAAGGCCATCCTTCCCTGCACAGACCCGCTCAGCACAGCTCTTAGGGAGAGGGGCTGTTTTAAAAGAGCCCCCCTTGCCCTCTGCCGCATCCTTCTCCCAACCCCTCTTACCATCAGCTGAGATTGTGCGCAAATCATTTTGACTTAGAAAAAGACATTATCAGGCTCTGGAACTCCCTCTCCTGGAGGAAGCTTGGAGATTAGGCAAGGATATTATTCCCACACTTAGTGTGACTCATGGGAGATGCTGAAACCTACGGTGGGACGTGTATCGGGAAAAGATCCGGGAAAGGAGCAAAGAATGGCATCTGTTGAGGACTCAGGGGCTTCCAGACCCTTCACACACATGATCTCACAATCTGCGTATAAGGGACACAATTGTCCCTGCTTTACAGGGAAAGAACCGGAGGCTGAGAGGAGCAAGTTGCACAGAATCCTAGATGGAGGCGATGGCTCCCAAGCCCTTGTCTTCTCCGTAAACTGCTGTTTACAGCACAGAGGAAGTTGGTCACTGGGGCAGAGCTAGGTGTGTGGGGTCTGAAGCTCACACAGTTTTGAGGGGGCTCTCATTGAAAAGCAGAACACATTTACAAAACCACAATTTGTCATGATAGTGAATATTAATTTCCCATTCTAGTGAGAATAAAAATCACGTTACAAATTTTAAAGGATTGGTAAATACCGTAAACATCAAGCAACTCAGGAAAGTAGCAGGGTATTTTGTATTGACCACTGACCAGCTCCATAACACATTCCCTGTGCATGTGTATACTCTGATCACCTCTGTGTACAGCAGGGAGTTTGCAATGCCACATTCTATAGAGAGAATAAACACTTTGACCAAATTTCTATATAGGAGCAGTGAGAATTCAGAGCACGGGCATGTGAAGTTTTCTCATGTGGGGCTGGCCCGGTGGCGCACTGAAGAGTGCGCTGCTTGGGAGCGTGGCGGCGCTCCCGCCAAGGGTTCAGATCCCATGTGGAGACCGGTTCCCGCTCACGGGCTGGGCGCGGTGCGGGCGCGACACCGAGGGTTGCGATCCTGTTACCAGTCAGTAAAAAAGACAAAAAAAAAAAAAAAGTTTTCTCATGTGGGGCTGGCCCGGTGGCGCACTGAAGAGTGCGCTGCTTGGGAGCGTGGCGGCGCTCCCGCCGAGGGGTCAGATCCCATGTGGAGTCCGGTTACCGCTCCCTGGCTGAGCGCGGTGCGGGCGCGACACCGAGGGTTGCGATCCTGTTACCAGTCAGTAAAAAAGACAAAAAAAAAAAAAAAGTTTTCTCATGTGGGGCTGGCCCGGTGGCGCACTGAAGAGTGCGCTGCTTGGGAGCGTGGCGGCGCTCCCGCCGAGGGGTCAGATCCCATGTGGAGTCCGGTTACCGCTCCCTGGCTGAGCGCGGTGCGGGCGCGACACCGAGGGTTGCGATCCTGTTACCAGTCAGTAAAAAAGACAAAAAAAAAAAAAAAGTTTTCTCATGTGGAATAATCTTAAGTGCTCCTTGGACGGATCGTCCTCGTCATCCAGTGTGGTTTGATGTTCTCATTGCAAGGACCTATTATGAGTTTTATGTTATCTTTGTTGATGTCAATATTTCATGCCAAATTAGCAAGAAATTTAAATCTTTTTCATTGTGTTCATTGGATTCATTCTTCTGAATTCATCAGTGGGAGTGTTCCTGGAAGCCATCTATCTGCACTGAACTTCTTTTCCTAGAAGTTATCGCTGGAAATAACAGGCAGCAAGAACTGAACGACACGTGGCTGTAACTGCAAGCCACATAAAATATCCCAGAGTCCCAAGCTAAAGGCATTCCCAAGTCAACTCTCCCAAAATACCTGCAGCCAGCCCAATGCCGTCCAACTGGATGGGAGGTGAGAAAGAGGGGAATCCAAGTGGAAAGAAACTTAAATAAGGTTAAGTTGTCTCACATTTGCAAAGTTTACAGAAACATATGACCAAGTGACCACATTGCAATTACATATTGCAATTCAGCAGCAAAAAAAAAAAAATTGATTTTCACTGAGTTGCACTGACATCTGGGGACCACTCTTTGGCTGTTCCAGAGAAGGTGCCCTAAAGAGGATGCAGCAGCCAAACGCCTGCTAGTTTTTATCTCACCCAGAAGGCCCAGGCAAGGGTGGCCTCTGCTTTACAAGAACCTGAGTCTGGACTAGGAGGCAGGAGATCTGGGCTCACGGCCTAGCCAGCCACTTCCTAACTGTGGGGCCTTGGGCAAGTCGTGCAGGGCCTCTGAGCTTCACCTTCCTCATCAGAAAGGTGAGAAGACTTCCTACTTCCTTGCCACAAAAGTGCCTTGTGAACTGTAGGAGGCCATAGACATGTACGGGATTACGCTCACTAGTAAGGCAGCCAGCTTCTGTCTGGGGAATTCTGTCATTTAGAGTTCTGCTGCAGCCGGCCCGGTGGCGCACTGCTACAGTGCGCCGCTTGGGAGCGCAGCGGTGCTCCAGCCGAGGGTTCGGATCCCACATACAGACCAGGGCTCACTGGCTGAGCGAGGTGCAGGCGCAACACCGAGGGTTGCGATCCCATTGCCGGTCACGAAAAAAGACAAAAAGGAAAAAAAAAAAATAGAGTTCTGCTGCAGTGACCCCTCCCTGGAGCCCAGTTTTGGGAGCTCACCTGTCTCCCCAGGTATGGAGAAGGGGAGCTATTTCTGAATTAGGATCCTGAGCTGACCCCAGACTGGGCTGTGATGTACCAGAAAGCCAGGCCCCCCCAGAATTCCTGTCACCTGGAGCCTGCCCCTGTGCAGCCTCGGCGCTCTGCCTGGCTGGCCAGCGCCCCCTGTGCGGCCGGGAGAAGCGGCGAGGCCCCGGTTGGTCTTCCTTGTCGGGCCTGATGGACGGCAGCAGACTCCTCCTCCAGCTGCTCAGAGCTCCAGCCCACACTTTGCCTCCAGCTCAAGCTCCCAGGCGCCAGCTCCTCTTCCTCCTGGCATCAAACGTCTGTGTGATCAGCTTTTCATCCATTTTCTGAAAATGTGGCGATTGAAAGATGTTCTGAATCTCGCAGAATTATACGTGTTGCACCCTGGCCATGCATCACTGCAGCCCCAGCCTGACACTGGGCGGGCGCCCTGCTCTCCGCCAGCCCCTTTATCACCCTCGGCCCCTGCCCGAGTCCCCTGAGGGATGGAGGGTCAGCTGCAAGCTCTGGGCCGAGGTCAGGAGAAGGCCGATGTGTACTCCCCGGGTGGAGGTGGGGCGCCCCCTGGAGGCGGGGCAGGAAGGGCGGGTGCATCAGACCCCTGAGAATGCGGAGGCATCTCTCTCCTGCTCTGAGAATCCACAGCCCCCTCTGCACCTTCCTCACAGTGAAGGAGATTGACTGACACTGGCCACGCGCTCTGCATCGCGTCTTTGTAATAAGCTTTCTCATTTGGCAGCAAATCCCAGTTTTACAAAGAGTTTTTCAACCATGTTCTCCCTTGAGCTTCACAGAAACCCCACGGGAGAGAAGGGAGCCGGGGACCTGGGAGGCTCTGCCGTGGCCAAGTTCATGAGCCACGGGTGAAGAGGGTCACTGGTCAGTCAAGAGGCTAGAAAGGTCAGGGGCACCCATGTGGGGGACCTGCAGGTGTCGGGGCTGTGGGTGCCAGGAGTAGACCCTGCACCAGGGCTCAGGATGGAAGCCTTGAAACC